ATTTTTGCAAAATATACAGCATGTTGGGGTACATTAAATTTATTATATAAATTTTAAAGTCATTTTAATCAGATCAATTCTTGAACGTAAAACATATTCCCCTATTTTCCTAGATGTATGGGAATGTTAATTTTATTGTATTGTAATACTTACATGTTTTGGTTATAGAACTTGCATGATTTTTTTCAAGGAAAACATGAAGAAAACATTCACCAAGACTGGTCCAGGACATCAGCACAATATATAATACTTTGTCAAGTTGTCCAAATAAAACAAAACAAATCTAATGCGCTCTCCCATAGGTTCATTGGTCTTTTTTATGGTTTCTAAAAAAACGTTTCCCTTAAACATGGCACACAATGCTCGACAAGTGGGTAAGACAGTTATTCAACCTGACATATGCCATCAAAAGTTTACTCTTTCACTGAGCACTGACAAACCTTCTTACCTTTTGGTGCGTCTTCCTGTGGAAAATATTGGAGACAGAGCTTTCCTTTCTGGTGCAAGCATGTCTCCACTGCCCCCACTAGTCACAGAAATCCACTCGTTGTTGCAGGACAGATTGGTTCATGAATTTTGCATCCATCCTTTTGGCTTTTATGAATTAGAAATGGTCCTTCATCACAAGTTTCTGCACATCGCTGTGAGGGACTGCCATCCGAAGTGCCATGTTTAGGGCAGGCGTACGTAAACAATCTGCTGCTTTGATCACCGCGGATACATATTTTATCATAGAAGAATACAGTATATGACTAAACTAAATCAGGACGAGTGTTGAGACCTTGCGGGATACACATGTACATTGAATAGTTAAATACTCATTGGGGCGGGGAAAGACGGATATAATTGAAGTAAGTGTTACAAGAAATTACATAAGAGCTGACTTATTCATCCTATTGCATATGTTGTTTATTCTTTTTGTTTCAAGAAGAAACTTTTTTAAAATGGATATATCAAATAGTTTAACACTTTCTGGTTTGAAATTTAGGGCAAACTTTTGGTTAATTTTATCAAGCAGTAGGCAAAAGGCATACTCGCCAAATGTACAGTAATGATAATTGTAATAACTTGAACAAAATTGGAAAAAACAACTGCCGAATGTTGGTTTGAAGGAGTGTGAAAGTTCCCTGTTTCCGACCTGAATTTCGAACCCA